AATTTTTATTTCCCATTGCTTTTCACTTGTTCTTGGGTACTTTTTATTTCATGTGTGTAGACTATCCTTTGTGTTTGAATGCATTTGAGAAGTCAAGGTTCTAAACATCTTGAACGTCTTGATCTTGAAATAGAAAGAACTCTCAAACACAACCGGAAGGAAAGAAAGGCAAAGATGATGCCAACACTCAATGAAAGGAAGAGGCCCGTGGTTGCCGCCACTCCCTCATGCATTGTCCTAAGCGAGGCGGCTCGGGACTATGAAATGAAAAATAGCTACTTCAATGCTATGCCTCAATTTCATGGCCTTCCGGGGGAGAATCCATTAAACTTCATCACCGAGTTCTATGGATTCATCCAAGGAATCCCTAGGCATGGTCTCACCGAGGATGATCTTAAACTCAAAAGCTTTCCCTATACCTTGAAAGGGGGAGCAAGGGGATGGTTCTTGGAGCAAACACCGGCAACTTTCACAACGTGGGAAGGTATTTATAATGCTTTCATTTCCAAGTATTATACACCCACGATGACTCAAGAGCTAAGGCAACGAATCTTCAACTTCAAACAACAAGTTGGAGAACTATTCCAAGACGCATGGAGGCGTTTCAAAGCCTTGTTGAAGGAATGCCCACATCACCGCATTCCTCTTGATCTTCAAATTGATACGTTCTACAATGGTTTGAACTCTTCCTGTCAAGCCATTGTAGATAACCGTGCGGAGGGCTATATTGGCAACAAAACTGAAACGGAGGCTTTGAGAATCCTTGAATCCATTGCTTCCAATCCTCAACTACAAGGAGGAGATGTCAAATTAGCCGGTGTGAGTGAGGTGTCCATAGCTCACGAATTGGACAAGCGGTTTGCTGATTTTCAACAAGCTATGCACAAAGATCTTTAAGCCTCTATTCACACGGCTCTTCAAGCCGTGATTGGAGGAGCTAGTCAAGTAGCAAGTGTGGAGAATATTGCACAACCGGAAGGAAATTCACCTCAAACTCTTGAAGACGTGAATTATATGAACTCTTACGGGAATAGGGGGTACCAAGGAGGCAACAACTATTCCAACAATCAACAAAGGTTTAACCAAGGTAAACCACAAGGAGGTCCTTCTTACCCCTCATCCGGGTTTACACATGGGCAAAAAGAGCAAACAATGGAGGAAATGATGAAGACTCTCACTCAAAATGTTGTGGCTAGTGTAAAAGCCCAAAATGAGGAGAATCATAGTAGAGTGGAGGCATCCATTGGGAATCTCCACTCACAATTCACCAAGCTTGACCTCCGATTTGAAGATCAAAACCGGAAACTCCACCAACGCATGGACAACATAGAACAATACACCAAGGCATCTATCCACAACTTGGAGGTCCAAATTGGGCAAATTGCCCAAGGAAAAAGCACTCGAGAACAAGGGCGATTTCCCACAACAACCGAAGTTAATCCAAGGGAAAACGTCATGGCCATAACAACGCGGAGTGGCAAACAAACGGAGGACCCTAAAACTCCGGAGGGAGCACCAACGACACAAGACGAGGAGAAGTTGGAGGAACATATATCGCCACTCCCTACTATGGCAAATTATGTTTCCCCTATCCCATATCCACAAAGGTTAAAGAAGAAGGATGATGGTAAGCAATACAAGAAATTTCTTGATATTTTTACAAAGTTAAGCATCAACATACCATTCGCGGAGGCTATTGCGGAAATCCCTTCTTATGCCAAATTTCTAAAGGGGATTCTCTCAAACAAGAAGAAACTAGCGGACTTTGCAACCGTAGCACTCACGGAGGAGTGTAGTGCAATCCTTCAAAATAAACTCCCCCCAAAGTTGAAGGATCCCGGAAGCTTCACCGTCCCATGCTCTATTGGAAACATTGGAGAGGTAAAATCTCTTTGTGATCTCGGAGCTAGTATAAATCTTATGCCACATTCCCTCTTTAAAAAGCTTGGTGTGGGGGAACTTCAATCTACAACGGTTGCTCTCCAATTAGCGGATAGAACAATCCGCTATCCATTGGGAGTTATGGAGGATGTTCTAGTTAAGGTGGGAAAATTCTATTTTCCGGTAGATTTTCTCATCTTAGAAATGGAAGAAATGGAAATTCCTATCATTCTTGGGAGATCATTTCTAGCCACCGCCGCCGCCCTCATTGATGTGAAGAACGGAGTTGTCAAATTCCGAGTAGGAGAAGATGAACAAGAATTCCATGTGTGGGATTCATTGAAGAAACATCATGATAGCTCCACGTGTTTTAGTATTGACATCATTGATACTATAACTCGGGAGATGTTTGAAAAAGAACTTCAAAAAGACCCTCTTGAAACATGTCTCACACTTGGGCATTCCGAAGAAGAAGAAAATTCTGAAATTTTCCAACAAATGATGTTCTTACAAGGAGAAGTCGTTCATAAACCTTACCGGCAAAGATTTGAAGACCTTGGGCAAAGGAAGTCTATTCTCAAACCATCAAGTCAAATCCCTCCAAAGCCCACTCTCAAACCTCTACCGGTACATCTCAAATATGCATTCCTTGGCGATAATTCTACATACCCCGTGGTAATTTCCTCTACTCTTTCTCCTTTACAAGAAGAGAAATTACTCCGGGTATTGAGAGCTCACACATCATCAATAGCTTGGTCCTTGGCCGATATCAAGGGCATAAGCCCAACTCTATGCATGCATCGGATCCTCATGGAGGAAAACCACAAACCAACGGTAGAACATCAAAGGAGGCTCAACCCAAATATGAAGGAGGTAGTTAAGGAGGAAGTTCTCAAACTTCTTGACTACGGTATTATCTATCCCATATCCGATAGCAACTTCGTGAGTCCCGTGCAAGTAGTCCCGAAGAAGGGAGGAATCACCGTTATAACCAATAGTAAGAATGAACTAATTCCTACTAGAATGGTTACCGGATGGAGAATGTGCATTGACTACCGCAAACTGAATGCCGGCACAAGGAAGGACCATTTCCCCCTACCGTTCATGGACGAAATGCTAGAAAGAGTGGCGGGTCATGAATTTTATTGCTTCTTGGATGGTTTTTCCGGCTATTTTCAAATAGCCATCTCACCCGAGGATCAAGAAAAAACAACGTTTACTTGTCCTTTTGGGACATTTGCTTACCGAAGGATGCCATTTGGTCTTTGCAATGCACCGGGGACCTTTCAAAGGTGCGTCATGGCTATTTTCTCGGACATGGTCGGAGATTATATGGAGGTATTTATGGATGATTTTTCAGTCTTTGGAAATTCATTCGATGTTTGCCTAAATAACCTTGAAAAAGTGCTCGTCCGATGTGAAGAAACCCATCTTGCTCTTAATTGGGAGAAGTGTCACTTTATGGTAACCGAAGGCATTGTCTTGGGGCACAAAATCTCCCCTCAAGGCATCGAAGTTGATCAAGCCAAGGTGGAGGTTATTGAAAAATTGCCACCTCCTCATTCGGTAAAAGCCATAAGAAGCTTTTTGGGGCATGCCGGTTTTTACCGGCGATTCATCAAAGATTTTTCAAAAATCGCAAAACCACTTTGTGATTTACTTGCCAAGGATGCTACTTTTGATTTCTCTCCATCTTGTTTGCTAGCCTTCAACACTCTCAAGAAGGCTCTTACTTCGGCCCCAATAATCATTTCACCGGATTGGTCTCTACCGTTCGAATTGATGTGCGACGCTAGCGACCACGCCATTGGGGTTGTGCTAGGTCAAAGAAAAGAAAAGAAACTTCATGCCATATACTATGCATCGAGGTTACTCCATGATGCGGAACTTAATTATGCAACAACGGAGAAAGAGTTCCTAGCCGTCATCTATGCTTTTGACAAATTTCGGTCTTACCTCATTGGCCAAAAAGTGATTGTCTACACCGATCACTCCGCCATCCGGTACCTCATGAATAAAAAGGATGCTAAGCCACGATTAATTCGGTGGGTGCTTTTACTCCAAGAATTTGACCTGGAAATTCGGGACAAGAAAGGAAGTGAAAATCTTGTAGCAGATCATCTCTCTCGCCTTGAGCCAAACGCCACTACAAATGTGGAGGTAATTCATGATGATTTTCCTTATGAGCAACTCATGGAAGTGAAGGGGGTTCCCTTACCTTGGTTCACAGATTTTGTGAACTATCTTGCCAAAGAAATTCTTCCCCAAGAGCTCACTTTCCATCAAAGGAAGAAATTTTTACATGATGTCAAACATTACTATTGGGATGAGCCATATCTGTTCAAGCATTGTGCCGATGGAATTATACGACGGTGTGTTCCAAATGAGGAGATGCTATCTATCCTTGCTCATTGTCATAATCTCCCTTGTGGAGGACATCATGGACCGGACCGAACTGCAGCTAAAATCCTCCAATGTGGATTCTTTTGGCCAACACTCTTCAAGGATGCAAGGAGCTTTGTCCTAGCTTGTGACCGTTGTCAACGCACCGGAAATTTGAGCCGAAGGAATGAGATGCCACAAAACATGATTCTTGTGGTTGAAATATTTGATGTATGGGGAATAGATTTCATGGGCCCTTTCCCTAAATCTCATGGGAAGGAATACATCCTTGTTGCGGTTGATTATGTATCCAAGTGGGTGGAGGCCATTGCTCTACCGGATAACACGGCCAAATCGGTAGTGGAGTTTGTAAAAAGGAACATCTTTTCAAGATTTGGGGTTCCTAGGAGTATCATTAGTGATAATGGTACTCATTTCAAGAATGCTCATTTTGCCGGCCTCCTAAAAAAATACGGGTGTATGTTCAAAACCGGAGCCACTTACCATCCTCAAACTAATGGACAAGTAGAAGTGTCCAACCGCGAAATAAAATCCATTCTTGAGAAGACGGTCAACTCTTCAAGGAAAGATTGGTCTCTAAAGCTAGATGATGCCTTATGGGCATACCGAACAGCATTTAAAACTCCACTCGGTATGTCCCCTTTCCGGCTTGTTTATGGCAAACCATGTCATCTCCCTGTAGAACTTGAGCATAAATCTCATTGGGCTATCTCTCAACTGAACCTTGATACCACACTTGGGAGAGAAAAGAGAATGCTCCAAATCAATGAACTAGAAGAGCTCCGACGGGATGCATATGAGAACTCCCGCATCTACAAAGAAAAAGCAAAGGTTTGGCACGACAAAAACATTAACCGAAGGGAGTTCTACGTCGGACAAAAGGTATTACTTTTCAACTCAAGGCTCCGATTATTCCCTGGAAAACTCAAATCCCGATGGTCCGGACCATATACAATCACCGAGGTCCGACCATACGGATCAATGATGATTCAAAACGGTGACCAAACCCCATTCCTTGTAAATGGTCACCGACTCAAGCCATACATGGAGTATCATAACACCTCGGCAACCGCCGTTTGCCCATTGGAGGAGTAAAAAGGTACGTTGCGTCCGGCCTACGACGTTAAACTGAGCGCTAATTGGGAGGCAACCCAACAAAAATAATTTCAATTATAAATAAATATGTTTAATGATGCGAAGTATTCATCTTTTATTTATAATTGAACAACACCCAATTATAAATAAATATGTTCGTTTACACAAACACAAGTATCCATATTTATTTATAATTGAAACAAAAAAAAAAAAAAAAAAAAAAAAAATTGAATAACCGGCGCCGGTCGGGTGACCAAACCGGCACCGGTTTGATTAACGTAGGCTTAAAAGTCGGATCCCGAAGGTCAACCGGCGCCGGTTTTATGGAATAACCGGCACCGGTTTTGATGTTTCAACCGGAGATGTCAGTCCCAGGGGAAAACCGGCGCCGGTATACACGTATCACCGGCGCCGGTTATACTAAAACCTGTCATTTTTTGAAAATTCGAACAAAGACCGGCGCCGGTCCACCCCTATAACCGGCGCCGGTTGACCCGTTTTTAACCCAACACCAGCTCGTCTTTCCGTCATTCTCACGAGCCAAAACAGCAACCCCTCGGACGAAAGCTCCCAAAAAAACGACACCCACTCCCTCAAATCTCCATAGCTTCGAGTTCTAAGGTCAAAACAACCCAAACCCATCACTCTCAAGGCTCCACAACATCATCTTCAAGCTTCTTCTCCACAAAATCAAGGTATGGCCCCAAAAAGGAAGCAAAATGACGGTGCCTCTTCTTCTTCATACTCCCACCCCCGTTTCACCTCTCATGAAAATGAGGAGTGGTACGAAACAAGAAAAAAATGGGGAATGGTGGTGGAGAAAACAGTTGACCCGATCATCGACGCCACTTTTGAACTAACGGAGGCATTCATGGAGCTAGGGTGGGCTGTGATGCTTACCCTAACAGGGGCGTACTACCCCCAACTGGTCCGTGAGTTCTACGCCAACATCACGGACAAACAAACTGGGTATGCCGTCATTCACTCATTTGTCAAAGGCAAGAACATAAAGATTGATCCAAGTTTTCTCTCCCGCCTCCTCAAGGTCCCCGATGACGGCACAACCCTGGAATTTACCCTTAAAGGAATCTCCAGTGACAAGACTTATGATGAAGTTCGAACAATGGAAAGGTATGAACTCCCAAAGCTCTTCACTAAATATTTGAACATCCGTGAGCGACTCATCATTTATCTCATTGGATTCAACCTTGTCCCCCGAGCAAGTGACCGTCATGTCATCCGAAAAATAGACCTCTACCTTCTCTCTAAAATGGTAGAGGGGTTGGGAGAAACTCCGAAAATATCTCTCCCCCACCTCATTATCAAAGATATGAAGACCGTGGTGCTCTCCAAAAGAGGTGACAAAAACTTTTGTTTTCCTCTTTTACTCACCTTGGTATTCAAACATTATAAGGTGGATTTAAGAGGAGAAGAAGTCATCTACACAGATGACTCCAACATTTTGGACAATACCACCATGGCCGCCCTTCAACATAAACTTTCGGATGGAGAGTGGACGTTCCCCGGACGATTTTTTGCTAACTTACATGATGAGGAGGAGGCGAGGAGAGCGGAAGAGGTACATGGAGAAGAAGAAATGGAGGATGCTCACGACGATGGAGCCGTACCCGAGCCACCGGTGCCACCACAACCGCCACACACTACCGACCCCGCGATGGCCTACTTGATGCACTCCATGGCCCGCATGCATACGCGGATGGACACGCAAGAGGAGAGACAACAGAGGTTTGAGGAGCGTTTCGACAGATTCGCCGACTACTACTACTCCCAACATGGGTACCCCCCTCAAGACCCGGAAAATTAATTACAGCGTTGTTGTTAATGCTTTTTCTATGACATTGCTTTTCTCAAACACATTTTATTGTGGATGTTGAAAGTATTTTGTTTATCATGCATGATACATTGAGACAATGTATTATAAGTGTGGGGGGGGGTGCATCTCATGGGTAGTTAAAACAAATTATGTGTGCAAAAATAATTTTTTTTTTTAGGAAGGTAAAATTTTCATATTTCTCTTTTTAACGGGTATTTGGTTGAGAAAGTTTTTTTTTAATTATTTACAAAAACCTATCATTTTTTTAGACTACTCTTTACTCTTGAAAATTATTCCAAAAAAAAAAAAAAAATAAATTCTTGTGACTAGAAAGCATCTCCTTCCTTCATTTCCAAAAATGGTCAAATACTACATTCAAGCACCATTTTGGAACACAAAACCCACTCTCACACCTCATCAAATAAATTGGCATCATCAAATGACTTTCAGTAAATACTAGTTGAAGACCTTCTCAAATGAGTTTGAAAAAAAAAAAAAAAAAAAAAAAAAAAAAAAAAAAAAGAAAAAAAAAAACTCATGGTCTCATCTTGGAAGTTCAATTGATTCATACAACTTAAAAGTCAAAAACACCAAAAAGCCATCCCACTCACCCAAAAAAAAAACCATAGTCACAAATCATTCCTTTATTTTCAAGAGTATAAGTAGTTTTCTAAATCTAAATGATACTTTTTGTGTTTAATTGAAAAAAATGGTTTTTGGACCGAGAATGATAAAAGAGTTTATATGTCATTTTTTTTTATCTCTCTTAAAAAAATTGATTTATTTTTGTTCATATATTTTTGTTGAAACTAACCAAGACATCCAAAGGTGAAGAAATTGCTTGAGGACAAGCAATGCTCAAGTGTGGGGGATTTGATAAGCACAATAGTTACCTATATTTTATATAGGTAATTATGATTATCTGTACAAATATTCAAAGACAGAGCAGGTATAAATCCCATTTTGAGTAAAAAATCGCACAAATACATCAAAGATGAAGAAACGGGAGTCAACGATCAAAAGGGGCCGAGAACCGACACTTCGGGGTCAGCCACGGGCGTAAAATGGAGCGAAAAATGAAGAATTGCAGTGCAGGGGAAAACCGGCACCGGTCATGCTTTAAAACCGGCGCCGGTTTCATCTTAAACAGCTTTACCACGGTGTGCCGAAGGTCAACCGGCGCCGGTCCACCCCTATAACCGGCGCCGGTTAATCCCGATTCTGCACAAAACATAGAGACGTGCAGCAAGATCTTGATGGAAAAAACCCACTTTCCTAATGATCTGATCAAATATTTCTTCCATGCTTGATTGCTGGGCTCGAATGGACTAAAAGATGCCAATCTTTAGCCTATATAAAGCCCCCAATTCATCAAACAAGAGATTCATTCCATTCCATAGATTAATTTTTAGTCTTTATACTTTGTTTTTGCTTTTGTTCTTCAAGTTCTTGAGGAGGAAACTTCAACCTCCGAAACCATTGGTGTTTAGGTATTATTTCCTTTGTAATTTCATGTTCCATTACATTTCAATATTGTATTGTGATTAATATGAGCATTAGAGGCTAACTTCTTAGCTAAGGCTAGGGATGAACCTCTATGTACACTAGGTGTTTGATAAAAGTTCTAAACCAATAAATTGTGATTTATCCTTTATATTTTGATTGTTTATGACTATGGTGTACAACATAGAAGTATGTTAAATTTAGTTTATGCTTGCAATTAACGTTGAAGTCTAAACTATGAACATTAAAGGATAAACATATATAGTACCGAGAATAGAAATATATCCGGTCTTATATGATACGGGTGTGATGTCTTGATATTCAACGGGGTTTTTGGTAGATGAATGTAAGCCGTAACGGGACTTACACGTAACGAAAACCACGCTCTCGCTGCCTTAACCGGAGTTGAGAATATATTAGCGACATCGTATTCACGATTATTGGGAAAGAACTATTATTAAATAACTATTAAAGCATTTAGGTGAATCCCGATTGCCTTAGTAATTCTTATTCTTGTTTAAATCAACCTTAAAGAACAAAGTTCCTAAAAACTATACCATTTACAATCTTTGCATTCAATACTCGACTTTATAATATCAACCCATTTCCCTGTGGATCGACCCGGTATTTACCGGTAATTTATTACTACATCGGCACTTGTATACTTGCAAGTTCAGCCCGATCAGTGTAGTATAGAGGTGTAAGGTAAATGGAAAAGTAGAAAAGAGAATATATTAAGAAAAGTAAAGTAATGACAAAGTATGAAAAAGAAAGTAGTTACAAGCTCGTTCCAAACTGTACGAGAGCTTTGTGCTAATTACTGTAACTAGGCCTTGTGAAATAAAGAATTACACAATTGTAATTAACAATTGCATTTTAATTACATATAAATATTACTATTTAATGATTGTATTTAAAGAAGTACTAAGATAGAAATTTTTAATCAAATAAATAAAGATTTATTATATTATACGAAGTATATATAGACTATATTTAAAATTTTGGGCCTTCTGAAATCGAGAGACCTTGTGCGGTAGCACTTCTTGCACACCCTCATCTACGGCCCTGAAAGTGAATAATAAATATAAAGTGTGTATGAACTAGCTATTTTTACGTGGAAACCCGGAAAGGGAGAAAACCACGGGACTTTTTAGGCTAACGTCCAAGCCCGCTCTTTCTGATTAATATGCTCCCATCACTCCTTTACATAATACAAAAGTTGAAGTCTCCATTAATGGAGCATGAATAACTACTCTAATCTAAGGAAGAAGAAGTAATGCAGGAGAAGAGAACCAAAAAAAGGATCCTTTCATCAGGAAGTCAACCTTCCTATTTATAGATGGGGGAGGGAGTAAGGGGTTTCTCCATGGGCCAATGGGCCTTGTTGGGCCGGAATGGGCCGAGTAGGTCCCAACGGGCCGGTTGGCCTAAATGATCCTTGCTAACTGGGCCCTGTACCGGGGCGGTGTATTGGGCCTCTAAACAGTAGTAGGCCGGGGTAATATACCCAACAATTTATATATTTATTTATTTTTTATTTATTTTTTATTTATTTATCTCTTTATGGGAGAAATGGCTATATAGCTTAAACAAATAAGTCACTTTTAGTTAATAACCTCTATTATTTTTATTAAAGAATATAGCACTTTAGCAATTAATATAAAAATACGATAGAGTTAAATACAAGACTCAATTGTATTTGATAAGTACAAATGTGTTTAGATAACATCAAATTCCATGAATTTTGGTGTTTATATCGGACATGCATATAACTCATATGCTTCTACGATATTTTAAAAGGCTATGCACTTTATTTTTGTAAATGTATAACATAAACTTAAATGTACATATTAAAAATGTATATACACCCAATTATCTCTTTATTTATTTATTTATTTATTTATTTATCTATTTATTTGTCTATTTATTTATCTATTTATTTATTTATTTACTTATTTATTTATTTACTTATTTATTTCTTATCGTACTCCGTATTATATAGAGGAAATCACTTACGGTAGGACTAAAACATAGCATTATTCTTAAAGTATGATTAAATATTTGATTTTTCTTAAATAGGAATAAATATTACATATTCACCCCTAATTTAATTAATTAATTAATTAATATAATTAATTGTCCCTATCTCCCTTTCACAACCAACGCCATTTTGTTGGTGACGCGTCAGTCCGATGACGACAGCGGGGAACTCCGGTGATGGAGGCGGACAGGTCACATGCATATCGGTAGCGAGAATCTAGGTGAAAATTTTGACGACCAGCAGTGGCAGTCCGCAATTAAAAGTCTATGAACTTTTTGAAAGTCAGTAAACTTATCCATGAATTTAAAAGTCCATAGAATTCATTCATAAAAAAGTCTATGGATTTAAAAGTCCATTGACTTTTTTAAAAGTCCATGGATTAAAAAAAGTCCACAACAATCTATATTGAATACACCCCCCTAAAAAGGAAAATGAAAAATCGATGCATAAATCCTAGGATACACACGTTATACACAATTTATACACAAAGTGTTGGTCGAAGACAATTGGTACGGAGTTGCCTATGAGCACATATGTTTACTTTCATGTAAAAAATACACTGACACCAGCTTGCGAATCAATCAATATATGTGCAATACTTGTGTGCTGGCAATATTTCCAAGTTGCACAGACAATAATTTTGCGACTCACAGACAATAATTGTCTGTATGATCAACTTTAGTTATCGGTGTAATCAGTTTTAATTATCTGGGTGAACAAAAAAATTAGTTGTCTGGATTTATCCAAATGAATGATGTAGTTATATGCGTGATCAATTTACATGTAATTTGAAAACAAAAATAGAAATATAATAAACATAGATGAAATAAAATAAATAAACTGATTTTGTGCGAATAATGGGAAAAAAATTATATAAAGAGGTAGAGAAAAAGAGGATGAAGAAGGGAAGAGAAATATGAAGAGGAGGAGATGATCTCTCATTTTTTATTTTTTGTTCTGAGATTTTCGAATGAGTTGGGTAAAGAGGAAAGAGATAGGGGAGAGAGGGGAAGAGGGGGAATGGAAATTTTCTTGGGGCTTTTATATGGTATACACTTTGTGTACACCATGTGTACCTTAAGCATTTTTCAAATTGATATTAGTAATCCCAATTATTAGAAATTTTCTTTTTTTTTCAAAAAATATACATAATTCTAAAATAATCTCAATTCTCAAAAGACCTTCCCTAATTGATCCAGATCACGTGCAATCTACTAAACAGATAAAAAATGTAAAATAAAATTTGAAGAAAAAAAATTGAATATTCGGTTCTTCATCTTCACTGGATCTTCCTATGCCCATGTTTTCTTCATCCTTAACAGACAAATTTATCCTCTTCCTTTTATTTTCTTTTTCCTTTTTTTTCCTCCCTCCATCGCCTATGGAAATCTCCTTCCCACCTTCCATTCCACTCGTTCTGAATTTGCACCTCAAATTTATGGTTCATTTTTTCAATGTAGGTTTATTGGGAAGGTTTAATTTGCGTGATCCAACTCAAATGTAACACTACTTGTAGCGGTCGTTGATGAAACATATATGACTACCTGATTGGACGACAGTAGAATGAGACAAT